CGTGATAAAATATTTTTGGTCATCGAAACCGAGAGGCGATACTTCGAATGTCTCATAACTTCATATAATAGTTATGTTTAAAAACTGAAATAATTTTAAGTTACGATCCTAAATTGATATTGTCTTTAATTTTGAATATATTTGTATATTATATATATTGTATAATATATATATAATGTGTATAAACAGCGATTAAAATTTATTTTATTCCAATTTCCTTTTATTTTAAAGTTTAATTTTGTAAATAGGAAATTATCCGTATTTTTCATTATACTAAAAAGTGCGATGTCGAAAATAAAAACTTTCCTTAACTCAAGAAAACAATTAATCTGAAGACTAAATGAAGTTTTAAATGAAATGAAATTAAACTTGAATTTCGGAGAAAAACCATTAAAGAATAAAAATAAACTGTTCACAAAGATTATAAAATCACTGAAAAAAACACTAGATTTTCCACAATCGTTAAAAATAAATATGTAATTATTAGATAAATTCTTCACTATAAATTACAATTATAAAGTCGTTAATATGTAATTATTTCAATAAACTACAAAAACAAATTCATGATGACGAAATAGTTCTATAATTGACGAAGTAACAACTCGCAACAGACGTTTCCTTGTTTTATTGGGCTGCAATTTGAAAAAAATTGTAGACGTATAAATTCCCATTGTCCTTAATTTCGAGAACGGAGTTAGGTAGATAAAATCCGAGATCACATATGAAAACCATAGGGACAGGAGGCCCGATTGACGATACAGGAACTTCTAAGCAAAACGGAAATCACGTTATTTCAGTTTAAATCGTTTCCCCTGAAAGCAGTTAATAGTTGTCCGGCACGACTCTATTGCTAACGGAGAAGTATGAGCTACAGGGGCAAGACACTACGGTACTAATTTCAGATGGAGAGCATATACATTTTAAATTAAATAAATTAAAAATATGATAATAAATTGCAGCACGGCATTGTGACGATGTCACAATAAATAATTGTTCTTTCGGCTTCAATTTTCAAATTGAAACCTCTAAATTTCCACTGGCGTTTGTTTGTCTGTCCTTCGTTAATCTCATTAACGAAGTTATTGAGATGAAAATCGAGACCATATATGGAAAGTTTCGAGGCAGAAAGTCCAGTATCTATATACGAACTACCGGAACGGAAGTTCGTATATAGATATCTGTAACGGAAGTCACGTGATTTTAATTCAAAAACTTTCTCTAGTATGGAGTCAGTTGATATCAGATGACTCAGTTGTTATCAGATGTGTAACGTGCAGGAGGAAGACACTACTAAATCGAGAGCATATGTTTTAAATTAAATAAATTAAAATATGAATAAAATAGTNCGACTAATCTTTCATATTACTAATTTTATATACTTTGCTACCATTATTTGAGAGGAAAATAGATAACGAATGCGACAAAGGACAGCAATTACGTTGTCAGCTATTTTTTCTCAATTCGTCATATAGCAAATATAATGCCGAGATACTTATTAGTAGTTAAATGAAAGGAATTTTAACAAAATTACAACAGACCATTAGAACATCGTTATACTATATCATTAAGAAATTGGATTTTTATGTAAAATCATAATTTTTTCTTTGAACGATATTCCTCGTAACATGCATAAAAAACAAATATTGGATGATATAAAACCCCTTAATTAAGGAGTTATTAAAGCATATAAAAGTATATTTGAAAAGTTATAAGACATTTCTCACATTTTCTCCATAGTAACATCATTCTGAAATAAACTGGATCAAAAATACAGAAAATATTTTTTAAAAAATAGTTTGTGGATGACCTTAAATTTAAATTCGAAACGAGAACTCCTCAATCAGTTCGCTGTTTCTACTGTACTTACAATGTGCATTGAAATTGAAATTAGTACATATTTATTGTTACTGTTACAATAGTATGTACTATGCTATATACTAGTAAAGTTTGTTTTTTGTTTCACATTTTAGACAGATTTCTTGAGTTTATATTGCGGTTAAACCAAACGCAAGCTTAGGATCTAAATGTAAGGCAAATGTGGAGAGTTCGGATTAATATATTTTCCACAAATAATGAGGTTCCTCTATGTCGATCCTATAATGAGGCCATTACGTGCGAGAAACTCACACGTTACTCAGTACATTTGTACAGCTTCTCACCCGGCTGCGTAACACCGAAAGGTAAGCAAATAATTTGAAATGCCGACAACAATTAACCGGGACCATCAAAGTCTTCATTTCTAAGAGATTTATGTGCCGATATGATTAGTGCTAGTGTCCCCTCTCATAAACTAAAGAACAAAGAATTTAAAGCATTCCTAGAGAAATACTGTGGGAACAAATACCTGATTAATCGATTTTAAGAAAGGATTACTTACCAGAATATTGAGTCTGTTCAAGACAGCTCAAAGGTAAGACGTTTGCTTAGATGACCACGAAACCAGATTTTATTGGAAAATGTGTAGTAAACGTCATTGTTGGAGCGCTAGATTTAGCATTTAATACTAAGGTGGCGACAGATGAAAAAACGTTTCTAATTCAAACAGCATTTGTCCAGCAAACTGATCACTCGATCATTGACAAAATAGTTAATGACCCAATGCATATCTTATTGTCAGCGGGGATTCAATACTTTTTGTACGATACAGCACCTTATATGATAAAAGCGAGAGAGGTGTTGAGTGTTTTTCTTATCGGAAAATGCTTCACATTATATGCATAGATCACGCATTAAATCGTGTCTGTGAAAAATTATGCGAGTTTTCCAAACATTAGTAATTAAATGTGAAATTAATAATCTCGAGCGTGAAAAAAAGTTTTTGTGAAGGCGCATTCAACATGATAAAAGTTGGTACAACAACTGCTCGTATCTCGTTGCCTCCCGAACTTGTAATAACCAGATTGGGTACATGGATAAATGCGTGTCTGTTATAATATTATGCTGATAACTACGAACTCATAAAGAGAATTATTTCAAGCGTTATGCAGTGAGCGTAGATGCCCAGAGATGTTTTAGAGAAAGAGCTATTAAACACGAATTAGCTTTCATCGAGCAAATTTTTATTTTCTTGAAAATGTTATAACAATGGAAGAAAGGATGTCATTCTGTACTGCTGTCAGTTTAATTGAAAGCGTAAAAGAGACATGGCGGAATTCAAGGAGCAGTAGCTAAAAAGATACACGAAAAATTGAATTTGCTCTAAATAAAAATAAAGGTTGGAAAGATATGGGGCTTGCCAAAATCTTAAGAAATGAAAAAGGAGACTTGGCTATTTCTCTTTCACCTACGGAAGTAGCTTCATTTCTTTTTGCTCCTGTTACTTCTTGTGACGTGGAAAAAAGTTTCTTTTTCCGCGATGCTGTACTATTGTGCAGAAACAGAGCAAACTGAGCTATTAAAGCAATATTTTGGTACGCATTGCAACCAGAGAAAATTATATTTTATGTAATTGATTTTGTAACTAAACCAATATGAGGGAAAAAATTAATCAAAACACATTTCAGCTTATCAATTTTTTGGAGAATATTTTCACGGTTCTAGGGAATATTTTAAGCTCGTATTTTCGATTTTTAACAGCATAATTAGCCTATCTGGGCCTTAATCATTGGCATTATACATAAAATAACAAAATATCATTAGAATGATATGCTCAATTATTTTAAAACTAATAACTTGGTTTTAAAAAAAGTTTTTATATATGCTTATGTTATATAATTTGCAGTTTACTTAATTGACATAATAATGTAAAAATATGTGAAGTTGTGAAATTGTGAAATTGTTTGTTTGTTTTTGCTTTAGTTTTCATGATACTAGCCTGTTTCGTGATAAAATATTTTTGGTCATCAAAACCAAGAGGCGATACTTCGAATGTCTCATAACTACATATAATGATTATGTTTAAAAACTGAAATAATTTTAAGTTACTATCCTAAATTGATATTGTCTTTAATTTTGAATATATTTGGATATACCAAATATAAATGTGTATAAACAGCGATTGAAAATTCTTTATTCCAATTTCGTATGTGTTATCCCTTTTATTTTAAAGTTTAATTTTATAAATAGCAAATTATCCGAAATTTTCGTTATACTAAAAAGTGCGATCTAGAAAATAAAAACTTCCTTAAGTCAAGAAAACAATTAATCTGAAGACTAAAAGAAGTTTTAAATGAAATGAAATTAAACTTGAATTTCGGAGAAAAACCATTAAAGAATAAAAATAAACTATTTACAAAGATTATAAAATCATTGAAAACTTTCCACAATCGTTTAAAAGACTTTCCACAATCGTTAAAAATAAATATGTAATTATTAGATAAATTTTCCACTGTAAATTATAATTATAAAGTCGTTAGAATGTAATTACTTGTAAAATTTCAATAAACTACAAAAACAAATTCGTGACGACGAAATAGTTCTATAATTGACGAAGTAACAAATCGCAACAGACGTTTTCTTGTTATATTGTGCTGCAATTTGAAAAAATTGTAGACATATAAATTCCCACTGTTCTTAATTTTGAGAACGGAGTTAGATAAATAAAATCCGAGATCACATATGAAAACCATAGGGACAGAAAGCCCAATTGACGATACAGGAACTTCTAAGCAAAACGGAAGTCACGTTATTTCAATTTAAAACGTTTCCGTGAAGGCAGTTATTAGATGTCCGGCACGACTCTATTGCTAACGGAGAAGTATGATGTACAGGGGCAAGACACTACGGTACTAATTTCAGATGGAGAGCATATATATTTTAAATTAAATTAATTAAAAATATGATAATAAATTGCAGCACGGCATTGTGACGATGTCACAATAAATAATTGATCGTTCGTTTGTTTTTATTTTGTGGAAGTTCCCATTAGTCGACTTCTTTATAAATTTGTATTTTTATAGTTTATTGATATTTTAGAACTGAAAATCGACAAGTTCTTTTTACAAGTATTTATACAATATTCGTAATTTGTACTATTACGTAATTATATGATTTTATCTTACCTGCATCCTTCCGTACAATCATAATCTCTGAATTTTTTGAAACAATGGATGTCTCGAATAATCATTTCTAGAAAAAAAAATAGTGTAAAGTTATAAAAGGTTTAAATCAAGTTTATAACTTAAATATTGTATAGATTATTGTATGCTTGTTATTTACGAAATTACATTAAATAATTTCGTTCACATTACTAATAAAATGACAGCACGATTTCACTTTTATATTATTACTTTATAGTTTAAAAACTAGTACTTTTATTAATCCGAACTGCCCATAATGTAATCGATCTTTCATAAAAACACTGTTGTTAAGCTTAATAAACTTAATTTTAAAAATATATTATTACTCATAAATTATTATTGGTGTAAATAACTTTTTTAAATCAATAATCGATTACAATATATAGTATGTATCTTCAATAATAGAGAATATATAGAAAACATACAAACAAGTTTTATATATTATACTATAATATAGAAAACTTACTTTTTCTATGTATAATACTCTAATAATGATTATTAGTGATTATCGCCCATAATTACTAGTGGTAATATAGAAAAATTTGCCCATTAGATATATATTGCTGTAGAAAATTCGCTCAAAAAAATTCGCCATTCGTAGAAAAATTACGACTCTTAGTGGAATTGAAGCAACGTAATTTCATTTATATCTCGATCACAATGGATTAAAATACATTTCGGGATTTATCGATTAACAAATTTTATTATCATTAAAGTTAGTCCTGTTGCAGGGGCTTGATTACATACAGTAGAGCCTCTATTATCCGACCCAATTGGGGACTAGGGTTGGTCGGATAATTGAAAAGTCGGATAACCGAAAAGTATGAAAAAATCCATTATTAGTGTAGTATATTATTATATCCCATGTAATTAGTATATTAGTATATCGCTATTAACCTACTTCGCGTTGAATTTTCATCGATGTTAAGCGTAACAAAATTTTTTAAAATAATAATCGTCGTTATTGTATCGTTAAAAATTAGAAAATTAAGCCTCTGGCTTCCTTTCATGGTCCATCCAGTGTTGCCAGCTAAAACACGTAAAAATAATATTACAGTAGCCAAGACATAGCCAAATATTGTAACGCCACATCACTAGCGGACAATTGAAATTTGCCGACTAGGACGGTCGGTTAACCGAGGTGACGGTTAATCGGGGGTCGGATAATCGAGGCTCTACTGTAATAAAATAAATATGTTACTATTGTTCCTATTTTAACAGTTTAAAAAAAAATACTGATTTGTTAAAAAGTTAATTATTTTAATACATTATAATTAGTAGGCAAACTATTTATTTTCATACACTCAAATAGCAAATGATCCAGAAAGAAATTCTGTTTCGCTCATCCATATACAATTTCGAATGAAAAATTATATACTCTAAAGCAGTGGTTCTCAACTGGGGGTATATGTACCCCTAGGGGTATGAGCATAAATCGAAGGAGTACATCTAACTTTCATTATAAAATGGTGTATGTTAATCAATTTGTTGTAAATTATTAACACAAGAAACAAGAAATGACAAAAACTTGCTTTAAAATATCCCAGTGTGAATACCGATTTCCCTTTTAACAATCTAAACAACTTGTTTATCCACTTGACTTGCCTGTCTATTTGTGCCGTTAGTGTCGAGTGAACCTGTAGTCTAGTAAAATTACAGTTTAACCAAGCATTAATTTTAGAATAGAATAACGAGGCCTGGATTGTACCCCCACCATGCAATGTGTATCAATGCATGTGCGCATTACTTGATATTTAGCAAATTTAGACGTTACATTTGTTACAAAAATTGAAAGATTCATGTATTGTTATGCATGTTATAAATTCGCAGCCATTACTTTCAAGGTCAGTACACAATTATAATCTCTATTTAACAATGTGGGAACCAAATTTTGAAAAAATTGCTGAAGATTTATCGCAAAAAATATCCCATTAAATTTTGTTAGAAATTATTGTAGAATAATTTAAATTTTCTATATTGTTAATTATAATTATTTATTTTCAGGAAATGTAATTTATGCAGGTATTGAAATGACTTCTGTGATTTTATATAATATACTTATCAAATAATAATAAATAAATGTATGTACCTAATTAAATTTATTATTATTTACATAAAATAAGTAATTCACTTTTAGTTATAGTTAGAGTTTTTTTATGGTGCTCAGTTATAAGGGCTGTATACATCTAACACAGTAATTATAAAATTTACATACAAAAATATAAGGGGTACTTGAGAAACAACTAATGAGTAAATGGGTACATTAACAAAAATGGTTGAGAACCACTGCTCTAAAGAAAGTTTATATTACAGTTATGAAGATTATTTAATCTAGACGCAATAGTGCAATTTATCTTTTAATAATAAAAAATGTAGTTGGAAACTGCATTTTTTATTGCTACATACCAAGGATGATATTTAGACTCGATTTTTCATTCGTGATTAAGTTGTATGGATTTTAAAATTGAAAAATCAATTAGTGCCTAACAGAAAGTCAGATTTATAAAATTCTAATAATGAGAATGAATTAATTCAGACAAAATATTTGAATATTTTTTTCTGACTATGTTGGCTCCTTTCTCTAACCGCCCGTCCTGGCAAAACTCACGATGGGTATGGTTTCTATTAAATTGATGGAATATGGTAACGCAAAACGTAAACGGTCTGCCAAGAGTGATGCCTCCCAGGAAGTCTCTATGGGATACTGGCCCCTATTTTAGATATTACACACATAAAGAAAAAACAGTGGAAACTCCACCTATCCAGCCTATGACCAACAAGGCCAGCTCGTTGGATGACGTGACTGCCTCAATTCAGCAAAATGAGAAGAGCGGTACCCTATATGACAGAGGAAAAGCATGCTGTTCGGTCAAAATGATCTCCCAAGATTTTTACATTTATGACTCGGAACTTAAAACATCAAAAAATGCAAAAAAAAATTGAGGTTTCTTTCATATACATAATTGTTTGTGTATGCATGGAAGCAGGCTTTGTTCATACAATTTGAAGCTTAATAACTCTTCTGTCTTTTATCGAAAATTCCCGAAACATTTTAGAGAGGTTTGTGTTTTGAGACATTAACTATTAAAATTTAATGGCACCAAAGGTCAATAGGTAAACAGAAACAATGACATCAAGAAAAAGATAAGGACTCGTTTGCTAAACAAAAACAAAATCTACTTCGGGCTCCAAACATACTAAAAGGCAGACTCCTTAGTAAAAGGACGAAACTAACTGCATATGAGTCGCTGATTAGATCTGCAATTCTGTATGAATGTGAAACATAGCCAATGATAAAGCAGGAGGAACTGCGACTACAGAGATTTAAAACAAAATATTAATGAAATTCTTTGGACCTGTGGAAGAATATGATGATAATGGTATCATGGTCAATGGAGACCAATAGGCCTATGAAGTAGAAGAACAAACCAGAAACTGCAAAGAACCAATGACAAGCCCATGATCACACAGGTGATTAGGGCCAGAAGATTACAGTGGCTAGGCCATGTTGTAAGGCTTCCTATAATAGCAACAGCTTCACCAGGACTCCGTTATGAGGGGAAAGGGAAAAGGCCAAGAGGCCGTCCCAGAAAAAGGTAAATAGATGGGGTCACCGAAAATCTTCAAGACCTCAGAATCGAAGATTGGCAGAGGCAGGCTATAGACCTAACGAGATGGAGAAGGATTGTGACTGCGGTAAGGGCCTCCAAGGCCCATAATGTCAGACGAAGAAAGAAAGGTCAGTAGGTATGGAGATATAGATGAGATCAAGTGTCATATCTCGAGTAGGAGTCGGAGTTAATGAAGATTATTTTTATTTGCATTTACAATTTTTTTTTTATAAAACTCATCTCTATCCTCAAAACTAGGCGAGGACTTTTCTGTTATTGACCTTTCTGTTCTATTGGCCGTTCTGATATAATCTATATATATATAGATTATATCAGAACGAATAATATATCATTCAACGAACAAGAATTAATTTATATTTATACAAATCTTTATTTTTTAATCGATTTAAATCAACGTTTGTGTATGAGTATTAGTTAGACCCTAGAATAGACACTAAGCCACTAATACATTACCCAAAAATATTCATTTAGTTTTATTTATTTATTAAATTCTGCCTACATCTGACTTGCAGCCTCTATGTGTTGGTAAAAAATTTTTAAAAATAATAAACTAAATTAAATTCATACAAAAAATAACATAAATTAGCTAAACAAATATTATATTCACTTAATCACTGCGACAATGATATATCTTGGAACATTATTAGAATTAAGAAAGTACTATTCAGAAATTAAAATACCCGAGTTCTTAGATGTAAAAATCAAATATTTATATAGTTTTCACAGTGTAACACTTTACGCTCGAGATTCAGTGACATATATAAGGAATTATGGCCGACTCGACGTTTTTAAAAACCTTCACATGTAATCCATCGTGGCCTGACATTAATGGGGAGCTTTTCATTGGACAATCTCTCATTGATCGCTTTGATTTGAAAGCAGAAGGGTTCAACCTAATCTCGTCAAATTAACTGATGTGATAACAAAATATTCTATAGTGAAACAGTAATGTTCTATAGTGTATTCAATTGAATGGCAAAAAAAGAGGGCTACCACAAGCACATATGTTGGTTAGGCAAAAAGAAAACGCTCATTTGACTCATGTTGACAGCATAATTTCTGCAATTTCGAAATGCCAAAGAAGATCCAGTTTTGTTTGACGTAAAAAGGAACATGATTAATGGAGCTTGTGGGCGAATTTTTCTATAGCAATAAATATCTAAAAAATAAAGAAACGTAAAACGAAAACAAAACGTTGGTTTTGAAAGAAAAAATATATAACTAGCAGACCCCGCCACGCGTTGTTGTGGCTCAAAATGTATCTATTATAAATGCATAACGCTTCCCCTGTGTAGGGGAAATTTTACGAAAAATTTCTTCTTAGTGTACATTCTCTTGACGTACCCTATTAAAACGCAATCAAAAACGCAAAAACCCGCATCTAAAATAATATAATAGAAGTCAAGTTCTTCACGGTAAGCCTTAATTCTGTCCCTCTCTCCGTGGGGGAATATCGAAAAATTCCTTCTTAGTGTACATTCTGTTGACGTGCCCTATTAAAACGCAATCAAAAACGCAAAAAACCGCATCTTAAATAGTATAAATAGAAGCAGAGTTCTTTACTGTAAGCCTTAATCCTGTCCATTTCCCCCCCAGTGCGGGAAATTTCGACACGTATATGATATAAAAACACGTGCGCATTCGAATGCAGCGTTGTGTCAAAATTTCAAAGGAATCGGTAGGAACAAACGAACATTACATTTTCATTTATATAAATAGATAGATGATGATCCACTTTAGTTCATTTTCACAGAAAAGCGTAATGCCTCGCAGAAAAACAAACTTAGGGCGTCGTACTCGTAGCGCCATTTGTTGGACATAAAAGCCTTAACCTAGATCAAGGGTGGGCAACCTTTTTTATAACATGTGCCAGAATAAATTTTACGTTTTTTCCGCGGGCCATAGTAGTTAATTGAAACCTTGTGACCTGTAAATTTTTAGTCTGCAAATATGAAATAAATAAATAAAAAGAAATTAATTACTACAGTCGACCCCCCTATAACACTGTTGATTATTCCGTTTTATATGAATTCCATGTTGTATGAGTCACTTAGATTTTACAAATGCGTGTGCCGGGCTGTGAACGGCTC